TCAGCACTGCGCCTCCTCTGAGTCTGGGTATGATATTCTCTTTACTCCTAGTTGTAGAATTTCCACTCAGCCAGCCCTCCTGTGGTTCTGGATGGTGTCCGTTCCGTGTTTCAGGCGTAATTTGAATTGGTTGTTCGAAGCAGCAATCTCCGGCGTTAACCTATGCCGCCATCTTGGTTCTCCTCTCAAGGCTAAGCCCCTTTATACTACATGATGCTTCTAGCAGTTGCATGCAACTTACAGAGTTTTTCATATATCTCTAAATATTGACATGTTTGTAGGGCTGATTATTGACAAAACACTTTCCATTTATGGTAGGAATCTTTTATAACTCTGCTCAGAAATGTTATCTAATTCTGGCATTTATCAAAATTGCATTATAATAAATTGCTTCTGTTCCAAATAATTTTATGCTATGCAGCCTCATTAAAAAGCAGTGAAATTTCCTAAAACCACCCTTGTAAGGGTAAAATATGAAAATAAGTAAGATAAAAGAGCTACCTCTCTATCAAAATAAGAGTAGAGAAGGGAAAGGGCTCCCTGGGTTTATGCTGGATGTGTTTCCATGTATAGACTGTTTCTAGTAATAACCAAGTGGAAACAGTACTTTGTTGTAAACTGTTTGTATAGCTGCATCCAGGAAAGAAGCATGGCTTGGTGAAATGATGACAGGTTTTAGAGTTAGACTTGAATCAGAAAGAGTTCTAGTTCTGCCCCAAAGTGGTATGACTTTGAGCAGATTACCTAGCCTCCCTGGACCATAACTTCTTCACTATATAATGACACCTACCTCTCAGAAATGATAGAATGATTTAAATAAAATTTTGTTTGTAAAGAGCCTAGCTTATTGTCTGGTCTATCACAGAAACTTAATTTATAATAGCTAATTGTAGTTACTGTTTTAAAATGTCTTTGTTTTTTTTCTAATATCTGAAATTATATCTTTTCTTTTGAAAGAATTGATAAGACCCATTAGAAAATGGGCTACATCATAACCTTATCTCTCATAGTACCTGATGTATAGCAGTCAGTTAGGTAGTACATCCACTTATTCCTTTATTCAACAAGTGTTTGTTGGGGTCATATTCTGTTTGAGGTACAATGGCAAAACCAAGATTTCTGCCCAAGAACCTACCTGCCTAGTATAATGAAATAATTATGCAAACAACGTTAATATAAGGCAACATGTAATAAGTGCTAAAAGAGTGGTTGAAAGAAAGGATTCTAGTCCTGGCCCAGTGTCACTCAGTAGGTTGGAGCATCTTCCTGTACACCGAAAGGTCAGGGGTTTGATTCCCAGTCAGGGCACATATCTACGTTGTGAGTTCAATCCCTGTTTGGGGTATGGAAGGCAACCGATGTTTAAATAAAGAAAGTAAGTATTCTCGGAATTAGCTTGAAGAGAAAGAGTTGATTTAAGGCCTTGGTGATCAGAGAAGTGGCATTTGAGCTAGCTAGGTCTTGAGGAATGGATAAGATTTTGTCAGGCAGCAGGGGAAGGAATGGCATTCAAGGCAGTAGAAATGGTTTGAGGAGCCTGGCCATTGTGGTTCAGTGGTTGAGCATCAACCCATGAATCAAGAGGTGTCCATCTGGAGAAAGTAAAGTAGTCTGGTTTGCCTAGAGCAGTGGTTCTCAACCTTCTGGCCCTTTAAATACAGTTCCTCATGTTGTGACCCAACCATAAAATTATTTTCATTGCTACTTCATAACTGTAATGTTGCTACTGTTATGAATCGTACTGTAAATATCTGATATGCAGGATGGTCTTAGGCGACCCCTGTGAAAGGGTCGTTCGACCGCCAAAGGGGTCGCGACCCACAGGATCAGAACCGCTGGGCTAGAGCCTATTGTACGAGTAAAGATGAAGCTGGAAAAGTGGGTTTGACGGTAAAAGGACTTGAATGCCAAAGTAAGGAATTTGGACTTGATTTTCCAGGAAGTCTTTGAAGGTCTTTTAAATCCAGGAGTGACCTTGTAAGGGTTGTAGGGGACTTAGCAAGGTGCATAATTATCTTTTTATCCTCTGTGCATCAATGAGATGAAGTGTAGTTTTATTCATAATTATTAATTCAGACCCTTGTCCTGAATGAAAAAAAATGTTCTATTTCACGCCATTGCCCAACACTTTTCCTTCTTTCTCCCTTCTACCTGCCAAAAGCAAAAGAAAAAACCAACATACAGCATTACCTTGTAGTATCTCTGGCCACATCTCTTAATCAGGCCAACAGTCACAGTATCCTTTTCATTACAGGCAAGAAGAGAGGCGGAGGCGGTCCTTCCAGGATTACACTGGGCAGAAAATCACCCTTGAGGCTGTCCTGAACACTACCTGCAAGAAGTGTGGCTGTAAAGGTAAGGTGAAGCCTCTGCCATTGCATTTTGTCTCTCCTGGTGGGCGGACCCTGTACTGGATCAGCAGCCTAGTGAGTTTAGTTCACCCTGTTGTTAAGCCAGGTGATGGCTTGACCTGTTCATGCTGTTATTCCTACTAGACTTACATCAGTTCATGGCTTGCTACTTTTTCTGTTTCCTTTTCTGAATGCTAGCCCTGGTGGTGACACTGTTAAACTGTCACCACCTCTTCTCACCTCTCTGCAGCTAATGCCCTACCTGGGCAAGGCCTCAGGTACTCTGCCAGGAAGGTAAGAGTGTTGGATTATGATTAACTCTCTAAATTTTATCTCCAAAGGATCATTATTATTCTGCTGCAAGAATTAAGAAACTTAGAAATATATTCCTTAAGGAATCAAGTTAAACCCTTTCTTGCTCATCTCTTTAACTTCAAAGTTCTGAATGCAGTATCCTCTTCGTAATAAAGAACACACTCTAGTCATTTTCTTTTAGCTCTGCTTCCTCAGGTTTCCTCTAGTCTTACTCAAATATTAAAGAGCTCTTTCAGCCTGACTTCCTTGTTGGAGCTGTAATGAGAGGGGTTGCCAACTTCTCATTTCAGAGTGGCCTCAATTTGTTACTACTTCTCCCGAGCCTTCCATCTATCTAGCCTTGTTGATTTTTTACAGCGACTGGTAACATATTTGTGTCCTGGTTGAGGTTGTGGGGTTTAAGCCCCTATTTATCTTTAATGTAGAGGGAAGAAAGAAAAGTAAAATGGAGAGAAAGAATACCTCCTCGGGGGAATTGTGGGAGCATTCCAAATATTTGGAAAACTAGTCTGTATTCTTCTTCCAGGCACCATCCAGCTTCTGGATTCAGAGTTACAAAGTCGTTTACATGTTGCTTTTGATGGTTTTATCCAAACTGTGTGCCCCTGAGATAGGGTCTACAGTAAGCACAGGCAAAACCAGCTCTATAGCCTCTGTTAAAGGGGCCCTTGATAGCACTGTAGGCTCAGGGAAGGTGTTGTCTTCTTACCTTCAACTTGTGTCCACCAAGTATAACATGAGGCAGAGAAGAATAATGAGAGATGGAATTTGGCCCACTCAGCAAAGGCTGGGCTAAAGGTGGTTGGTTTTGGTGTAGCAGAAAGAGTACAGGGCAAGGGGGCACAAGACCCTAGGTAAGTTTTACTTCTGCTGTTCTCTGTGTGACCTTACACTACTTCTCTACTCTGGGCCTTCATATCCTCTGCAAATGCAGTGTTGTATTTGATTATCTCTAAGGCCCTTGCCAGACGTGACAGTTTGTGCATGTCAAGTGCCCTAGGTGACCATGCCTGTCTCTCTGTGTGTTAGCTTGGATGCTGCCTTCCTGCCAGCTGCCTGAGAGCTATCTTTCTTCAGGACCTTGGTCTGCCACTTGGCTCACTCTGCTAAACATTCTGCTCTCTGAAACAGCCTTTTGTTGTCAGGAATAAGTTCCAAATAGATCTTTAAAAAATTACTAAGCTTCATTGCTAATAGAGGGCAGTACCAGCCTGCATGCTCATCTGTATCTTCTGCCATTTCCAAAGCAGTGCCAGTGTTTCCCACAGCTTTAGGACCAGCTGCAAGGCTGGCTCTGGTTGAGTGAGCAATGCCATCTTGAGGTGACAGAAAATCTGTTCTGAATCCAATAGCTGCTCTGAATGAACTCGGTAAAACCTCCTGAACCAGCTAGCCCTTCCAGGAGCCTCTGGGGAAGATCCACCTGCTGAGAAGAACGACTGCTTTCTCCTCCCAACTTTTCTACTTCTCTTCTGCAGGCCACTTTGCAAAGGATTGTTTCATGCAACCAGGTGGGACCAAGTACTCTCTGATACCTGATGAGGATGAGGAGAAGGTAGAGGCAAAGACAGCAGATTTTGATAAGCCTGACCCTACGAAGAATTCTAGGAAAAGAAAGAAGGTGAGTGCTATCTTGCTTTATTTATCATATAAATAGATATGTTTTAGAATGTAAATGTACTTTGCACAGAAATGTAAAAAATGCTGAAAAACAAAGAATATTAGGATCTCCTGTAATCTTTCTACCCAGGGAAACTCTTATAGTATTTTGGTATGTTCTAATGTTTTTTACAGGTAATAGTTAATATATACACACACTCTTATATATATATACACACAAAATTATGGTCTTCCTAGGCATAACGTATATCCTACTTATTTTATTATACTTACTAAAAGCATTTTCTGGTGTCCTTATTTGTTCTTCAAAAACTTGATTTAAGAGCCGCTGTGTGATTTTTTTTTTTTTTTTTTTTTTTTGGTGTCAGGAGTGGAATGATGTTTTATTTAATAACTAGAGGCCTGATGCATGAAATTTGTGCAAGGGTAGGCCCTCACAGCCGCCCAGGCTGCTGCCTTGGCCCTCGCAGCCCCGGCTTCGTCTGAAAGGTTGTCCGGATAGTTGTTCTACTGTTTGGGCTAATTAGCATATTAGCTCTTTATTATATAGGATTTTTCTATTGTTGGGTATTTTTTATTATTCCCAACCTAAATTTGCCATATATCTTATTGTTTTCTTTGGTTACATTCTTAAAAAGATTACTGAATTAGGGTTTTAAGGCTCTAGATACATTTTGTCAAACTGTTATTCCAGAAAGTGGTGGATGAGAGTGTCTGTCTCAGGGAGTTCTCTCTCTTACCTACTACTTATAGCAGAAGAATTCATAAAACAGACATTGTGGTGCACAAAAACTGCATTTGTAATTTGTCACATGATACACAGAGAAAATGAAAAACTATGCAACGGTTTGGTCAGGATATACTGGTTCTCAAGTTGTGCAGTATTTTTCTAATTGTGGCCAGTTATTAAGTTTGGGGGTTTTGTTTTGTTTTGTTTAAAGTTTTAGCAAACTTTTGTTGTGGTCAACTTGTTCCAGGCATTGCAAACCTAGGAATACAAAAACTGTGATCAAATCCTTGCTCTCATGTGCATTATCTACAAATTAAGTATTATCTTCACCCTGGCTGGCATTGCTCAGTGGTTAGAGTGTTGGCCTGCCAACCTAAGGGTCTCGGGTTCGATACCGTCAAAGGTACATACCTGGGTTGCAGGTTCCCTGCCTAGGTTGGGTTGCATGCGAGAGGCAATCAGTTGATATGGTTCTCTCACATCAATGTTTCTCTTTCTCCTCTCTCTTTCCCCCCCTATTCCACTTTCTCTAAAAATCAATGGAAAAAATATCCTCGTGTGAGGATCAACAAAAATAAATAAATAAATAAGTGTCCTCCAGTGAGGATTAACCAAAAAAAAAAAGTCTTTATTCTATAGGTGAGGAAAAGGGTGTATTTTAACATTATAAGAATTAGCCAAATATATTAATAATAATTTATTGATCTGTATTTTCTCTCCCTGGATGATAGCATCCTTTCTAAGACTTTGTCTCCATGACTTCCACATACCTAACTAGTATCTCAAACTTTGACTTGGAGTCCATCAGATGTAAATTTGAGACCCATACCAGCTATGTAATTTTGGGCTCTTTAACTTCAATTAATTTTCAAAGTGGGATTGTTCTGGTCTTTGATGAGAGTGTTCCTTGCAGAGGGATACCCAGCTCCCCAAAATAGATATAAAGTACTGACAAATAAGTGCTTAATTAATGTTGACAGTTATCTTTTCTTTAGCCCTCCTTCCTACACACACACACACACACACACACACACACACACACACTCTCACCCCCATCACCATAAAAACAACAACCCAAACTCTGGTTTCTGTCCTTCTGTCTTGCATTACTTGTTTTAATGATACCTTAATTATATTTTTTCCACTCCCACTGCTACTCTGCATTTCATCCCCTCACAACTCTCCCATTTAGATTGTTGAACTAGCTTAGGGAGATTTTTAAAATGTTTATTTTGTTGCCAACCTCTTAGTATCAAGGTCACAGGCCCTGGCCTCTGACTTTGTTTTAAAAGCACCTTCTTTATCTCATTGCTTGATTCTCTTCATTATCATGACTTTTCACCCTCTGCTTTAACTCTGAATGTTGAAGTGCACCAAGGCTGTCTCATTACTCCCCTTCTCTTCTCTGGCTACCTTCTCCCTAGGTAATCTCTTCCTATCCTGTGGTTTTGAGTACAATTTTATGCAAATAATCCCCAAATTAAGTGTTTGTATCCTTTTTAAAAAATCCAAATCTATAATTCTATCCCTCACTTTTTCTCTGGAACCTTAGGTTTACATATTCAACTGCCCACTTGACATCTTTGATTGCCAAGTTGGCATCAAACTTAACACACCCCAAATTTTAAAAATTTCCTACCCAAAGCTTCTCCTTCTGCATTCTGCTCTATCTCAGTGAATAGATCACCTTTCACCCAGTTGCTTAAGCCAAAATCTGCAGCCTTTGGGTATATTTGTTTTTTAATTGTGGTAAAATATAGATAACATAAATTTTATCATCTTAACCATTTTGAAAGTGTACATTCTTTGACATGAAGTAAATTCATATTGTTGTGCAATCAATACTGCTATTTATTTCCAGAACTCTTTTCATCTTACATAACTGATAGTCTATACATTAAACAATAATTCCTCATTTTCCCTCCCCCAACCCCTGGTAACCACTATTCTACTTTCTGTCTCCATGATTTAGACTTCCCTAGAAACCTCTTTAAGTGAAATCATACAGTATTTGTCTTTCTGTGACTGTCTTTTTGAGTATAATGTCCTCAGGGTGTAGCATGTGTCAGAATCTCCTTTCTTAATATTTCATGTATGTATGTACCATATTTTACTAGTACTTATTCATTCATTCATTGCTTTCACTTGGGTTGCTTCCACCTTTTGGCTGTTGTGAATAATGCTGCTATGGATATAGTTGTACAAATATTTCTTCCAGACCCTGCTTTCAATTCCTTTGGGGATTTACCCAGAAATAGAGTTGCTGGATCATATATGGTGATCCTATTTTGAAAATTTTTTTTATTTTTAAGGAATCACCATACTGTTTTTCAATGTTTTATAATTGTCACTTAGGTAAAAGTGGTTGTTGGTGGTGTTTAGTTCTTTTATGTCTTTTCTCATTTAATTTTTTAATTCCCCAAAGAGGGTTGTTAAAATATCCAATCAGACCATATCTCTTCCTATTTAAAATTCTTCAATGATGCCGTAGCCAGTGGTCGGCAAACTGCAGCTCGCGAGCCACATGTGCCTCTTTGGCCCCTTGAGTGTGGCTCTTCCACAAAATACCACATGTGGGTGCACATGTACTGTGTGATTGAAACTTCGTGGCCCATGCTTAGAAGTCGGTATTTTGTGGAAGAGCCACACCCAAGGGGCCAAAGAGCCGCATGTGGCTCGTGAGCCACAGTTTGCTGACCACTGCCCTAGCCAGTTTGGCTCAGTGGATAGAGTGTCGGCCTTTGGCCCTGGTCAGAGCTTGTGCAAGAGGCAAGTAATTGATGTGTTTCTCTCTGTCTTTCCCTCTCTCTTCCACTCTCCCTAAAAATCAATGCAAAAGTATCCTCTGGTAAGGATTAACAACAGCAACAAAAAATCTTTAGTGATTTTTCTATTATACTTAAAATCCAGAATGCCTCTTGTGAAAACAAACTGTCTAACCCTATTCCTCTTCAGCTACAACCTGTAGCAGGTAGTAACTTATATCTAGCTAAAACATTGTTTTGTCTTTTTTATGTGTTTATTTTATTATTTTTTAAATATATTTTTATTGATTTCAGAGAAGAAGGGAAAGGAGAGAGAGATAGGAACATTAATCATGTGAATCATTGATTGGCTGCCTCCTGCATGCCCCCAAAAAGGGATTGTGCTTGGGCACGTGCCCTCAACTGGAATCAAACCCGGGACCCTTCAGTCCACAGGTTGACACTGTCTACTGAGCCAAACCAGCTAGGGCTATGTGTTTATTTTTATAGTTATCTTCTACGTATGGCAAGGGATGTAAGATTTCTATTTACAGTTGTCTTATAAAGTTTCCTTTTTATGAAAAACTTTTTAAAGTAAAAAGAAAAGTAATAAAATTTTAAGTAAACAAGTAGCAGGTTGTAAACACATGGAATAAAAATTGTGGCAATATTGCTCTAACCTGTTTGGCTCAGTGGATAGAGCGTCAGCCTGTGGAGTGAAGGGTCCCAGGTTTGATTCTGGTCAAGAGCATGTACCTTGGCTGCAGGCATATCCCCAGTAGGGGGTGTGCAGGAGACAGCTGATCGATGTTTCTCTCTCATCGATGTTTCTAACTCTCTATCCCTCTCCCTTCCTCTCTGTAAAAAAATCAATAAAATAATATTTTTTAAAAATGTGGCAATATTATAGCAATAACTGACACTTGGAAAACATTGATTTAGAGCAGTGGCGGTAGTATTTTAGTTTGGTAATATTCTGTGAATCAAAGAAATAGAAATTAGCAAAAGCCCCTGCTTCAAGTAGTGCCTTCCAGAAGCCTTCTGCAAACCTTTAGCATTGCCATATTTAGCCTAGTTCCTTCACAGAGGCAACCCTGGATCTACCCACCCTGTAGTATTGCTTTATTTTGAACATAGGACTTGGCTTTACATACCTTTATTTCTTGAAGTTTTTGAAGCTTCCTTATAGAGATCTGAGGACTTGATTTAAAGAGGGAAAAGGGAAGTTCCCACTACATACTTTTGTTATCCTATACTAGAGGCCTGATGCATGAAATTCATGCAAGAGTAGGCCTTCCTTCCCCCAGCTGCCGGCACCAGCTTCCCTCCAGCACCTGGGACCCAGGCTTCACTCACAGCCCTGGCTTTCGTCTGGAAGGTCATCCAGAAGGATGTCTGGTCTAATTAGCATATTATGCTTTTATTATTATCCTATATAATAATAGAGGAATATGCAAATTATCCAGAATGCTGTCACGTCACAACCATTCAGCAGGGTGGGCGGGGCTGTGGCGCCATGGGGCGGGA